TCCTTACCCATAAACAGAAGTACCAGCCTCCCTAATTTTCCATAATCCTCCCAATTAATTTTGCAATTACATTTAAAAGGTAGGATTAAGTGTGTTGTGTGTCACCCACCCCTCAGGTCAGATAAGAACAGTGCTGTGGCTGTGGGAGGCATTCTTCTCCGTCACCAGAGCCCCATGCAGTGGCGCCCACAGCCAGGCTATATGCATATCACACGGGGTGTACCATTTTGTCAGCCAGAGTGGGTCCTCGGTCATGTTTTTGAGGTCCCATGGTAGGTGGAGCTGGTTCTAGGCCAGGGCCCAAACACATGGCAGCTGTGTCACCACTGCAGGAAGCAGAGGGCCAGGCCAAGAACACCAGCAGTGTGTGTCAGGGACGACATGCTGGCCCTCTGTGCCTTCTTCTCCAGTGTGGCCAGCAGTAGTGTCTGGGCCACACAGGCTTCTCCAGGTCTGTGACACTCCAAGCAACTGCCTGTGGCACCAGTAAGTACTCTCCACACACCCCAGCGCCGCCTGCACATGATATTGGTGCCTCCTCTCCCTGAGCCTGGCTGCCGCTGGGCAGCTACCTCCCCTTCCCCCAACCAACCCCCCTCCATCCCTGCATCTCCACTTCCCCAGCTCAGCAAGCAGCTCCTTTCAGCCCCATCTCTGCTCTCCCATCCCCACCTAACGCCTCTTCAGCCCAGCCAGCCGCTCCACGCCAGCACCCCTAGACCTCCCCCATCTCCCACCTTGGTGTACCCAGAGAGAAATTTCTGCATGATGCAGTTAGAGCACAACATGCAGCCTGTGGCTTGGGCAGTGAATCCAGCACCCTACTGACAAAGTGAGCCAAATACGCAAAAAACTCCACGCAAAATGGTTTCAGAATTGCTTGCGCAGGGGTGAGGATACGGCCTATATCACTGTCAGACCTGGTCTGGGCTATTGCTGTTGCTACATGTTTCTTCAGCTAGTACCACTGTTGTTTTTACTCTCACATCCACAGAAGTCCCTCTGAAATGCACCACAAGCATTCAAGGCACTACTCCAGAGCCCCCATCTGTGTTTGGCTTTGCACATTTGGCACTTGCTGCTGCTCCAAGCAACCTCCCTGATTTTTTTCATAAATGACCCTGGAAGTCTCAGAGCAAGGCTGGCACCTTGACATAAACCTTTTTCATTTTATAATGTATCGTCAGTCACATTCATATGTAATGACTGAGGGAGCCATTTTGGAAAAATATAGCCTAGAACCTTCACCTTCTCTTCCCTCACCACCTTTCTAGGTAGCCCCAATGTACAAATATTGTGTGCCATTCAGACATTTTCTGACAGTTCAGCTCAGGAACAAAACATGGTGACTTGGAAGAAAGTGTACCTTTTCCACAAACCTTCACACAAACAAACCTCTGTTCACATCAATGTTCAAGAAAAGTAAAGGCAAATATGGTACAAACATAGCAACTCAAAAATACTCACCAATAATTTTGCCCACTGTTTACCTGGGTTTAGTTATGTCTCCTCTGTATTGGTGAAGATCTCCCCACCAGAGCTTGCATATATCATTTAGGTCACTTTAACATACAGGTATAAGCATCCATTATTACTTGGTGACTTCTAATCAAATATAGCTTATACAACAAACACTGCATATACCATACTCCATTTTATGTGCCATTTAGGTTTGATTTCGCATCATTAAAATCAAGGGAGTTATTCCATTGACTGGAATGGGAGCACGATTGAGTCCCCTTGCTCAATACTGAATGGAAACCGATGTCTCTTGTTTTTCCATCTCCTGCCCCTTTTGAATGAGTTAGTTCAAAAGACCCCTTTGAACCTGGGGGAGGCATGAAATAGATAGATAAACTATCCATTTTGCATATACCATCGGGTACAGAAAGCTCCAGCCCGCTTCCTTTCTCATAGCCCCTGGATTCCTGGGAGCAAATATCTCTTGCTTCCTAAGGACCTACTGGGTGCTATTTAAGCTGTTCTAGCCCTTGCTCACAGAGTTGGACAGAAGATCATTCCTTAGTCACAGTTTTAGAGTTCTTGTATTTCCCTTACCCCAATTTATATCAAATGTGATTTCTGTTGCGTCACAGAGATGAATTCTCATCAAATACATTTTGAAAATCTAAGCATATACCATCCTCTCTCTTCCCTCTGTCTCCACTGCAGTAATATCTTTGAGGAAGTCCATGCTTAATCACACTTGCCACTCTTGCCTTTTTGCCCAGTATGGAAGTAACCAGAATCAATTTATATTGAGTTTCTCTGACTGTTTCTCAAATATTTTCTACTTTTTTTGCAGGCAATTTCCTACACATTTACAGGACTCTAATAAAAACATTATCTAGTTTCGCTGTAGCAACATCCAAAATCACTTCATTAACCTTTACTGATCTTCTATCCAAAACATCTGTGGTGTTTATAGAATATTTCTCTTTGCAGGCATAATATCAAAACTCACATCTCCTGTTTTATTTTGCCTATCCATTTGGTAAACATAATTGTTGTATTGCATATAACTGACCTAGTATAAAGTAATAAAATGTACCTCCTTTATGCTAATAATATTCTATTTATTCTCAATGTTCTATAACTCCAGTTCAGCAATATATGCCCCTGGTACAGGACCGGCTCCAGCATTTCTGCCGCCAAAAGCAAAAAAAAATAAAAAAATAAAAAATAAAAAGGCCACGATCGGCGGCAGCATTTGGAAAAAAAAAAAGCCGCGATCGGCGGCGGCAGTTCGGCGGCAGGTCCTTCGCTCCTAGAGGGAGTGAGGGACCTGCCGCCCCCGAATTGCCGCAGGTGCCGCCCCTCTCCCTTGGCCACCCCAAGCATCTGCTTGTTAAGCTGGTGCCTGGAGCCGGCCCTGCCCTGGCATCTGTATATTGTTGGTCTTTAGCTTTGTTGCCCTTGGCTTACCTTATCATTACATTCTCAGTGGGTCAGTTTCACTGGGGCTAATCCCCATAATGCAACTGAAATAAACAGAAATCAAAATCAGGTGCACTGACTACTAGATATGTACCTTCCTTCATATCTAGACAGTGCTCTCTATTCTGTTCTTCCCTCATTGTTAATCTAAAACTAGGTTAGTGATTTTTATATTATCAGCCAGCCAGTTTGCTGCCATATAGTTGAGCTAATCCGTTGCTGCTTTAGTGCTCAGTTTCTCAAAATTAGCTTCAGTTGAGTAAACTGCCAAAACAAAACCTTCTAACCAGACTGGCCAACTACCTATTCATCCTAAATAGTCTGTTTATAAATTTACCAGTCCTCACTTCAGCAATACCGCTGAATATTAGAATGAATTTTTTTTTGTCTCAGTTACGGGGCAAGAGGCTAAATTCTGCACTGGGCTATAGACTCATACAACCTCAGCATAGTCAAAATGATAAACTACTTTGAGTTAGGTTTCCACTTCTTATATTTCTATATTTTGAGTTCTGACTAAAACACGGTGTTCCTTTTTTTTTTTTTTTATCCCCCTCCAGGCTAATGATCTGCTCAGTCAACTAATCAGGTTTATTATCCATCTTTTGAACTGCTGCTTGCATGCTGCCTGACCTCAAAATAAGTTTTACTGACATTTCTGCCTTTAGGGCCTCCAAAAATATTGGCAGGTCAGCAGCATTGGAATATAGTTTAAGGGGTTGTATGGGTGTAACTGAGGGCAGAGTTTGGCAGAGTCAAATACAAACAAGCTCATCCCTCTCTTTCTCCTAGGGGAACACTTTTGCTAACTGATTGGCTCTCTCTCTTTAAGAGAAATAGCTATTTATAAAGTAGGCTAGTTATTTATCTACTGCCTATTTTTTCCCATAGCTTCTCTACTCAAGTACACACCCAGTAGCTCTTGGACTCCACTCTTTTTTTCATCCTTTTACAGTACTTTCTGCCTTTCCGTACCACAAGTTCTTACAGTTATCCATCTGTTGTCTTTGTATCATCCTGGTTTTGTGCTCTGCCTCTAGTTTATTCAACCCACAATTTTTACAGCTAGTCCTCCTTCTCTGTTTTCATACAGTCAAGTATCAGAGGGGTAGCCGTGTTAGTCTCAATCTGTAAAAAGCAACAGAGGGTCCTGTGGCACCTTTAAGACTAACAGAAGCATTGGGAGCATAAGCTTTCGTGGGTAAGAACCTCACTTCTTCTTG